TGATCCCGTTATCAATGACATCCAATGTCCATAGTCAGGAAACCATGACTATCTTTTGATCAACGAGCTAGTCAACTAGAGGCTCACTAGGGACGTGTTGTGGTCTATGTATTCACACATGTATTACGATTTCCGGATAACACAATTATAGCATGAACAATAGACAATTATCATGAACAAAGAAATATAATAATAACCATTTTATTATTGCCTCTAGGGCATATTTCCAACAGAATCGACGTCGTTTCACCGAATGACTGAAATGCAGAATCTGTGGCAGGCTTCTTGGCTTGCAGCAAATCACTCGGATTTGCATTTTTCTGATATTCTTGCAGTTCTACTACTCCCATTTGTGCATCGACAATTTTTGAGCCCTTTTGGAAGCACTCTTCTGCCTTCTGCCGATTACTAGTGACCGTGATTACTCCTTTAGGACCAGGCATCTTCAATTTGAGATACACATAACATGGTCGAGCCATAAAACGTGCATAAGCGGGCCTACCCAGAATAGCATGGTAAGCACTCTTGAAATCCACTAACTCAAATGTCAACTTTTCTTTGCGGTAATTCTTGGAATCACCGAAAACCACATCAAAGGCGATCTGGCCGAATGACTGAGCCTTCTTGCCAGGTATAACACCGTGGAAACTCATGTTGCTTTCACTAAGCTTGGACATCGGAATGCCCATTCCCTTCAAAGTTTCAGCATAAAGGATATTCAGGCCACTGCCACCATCCATCAACACTTTAGTCAGTTGAGTGCTTTCAACTACTGGGTCGACCACCAGTGCTTGCCTCCCAGGGGTGGCTATATGTGCTGGATGATCAGACTGGTCGAATGTGATGGCATTCTGGGACCACTTCAGATAACTGGGTGTTGCAGGAGCAACCATGTTTACTTCTCTGTTAATAACTTTCAACCGACTTTTGCTTTCAGCATCAGCAAAAATCATCAGCGTGGAATTGACATTGGGAAAACCATCATCATCTTCTTCCCCATCCTCACCTCCGTCCGACTCCTTTTCCTTCTCCTTGGGTTGTTTCTCTCGGAACTGCTGGATCAGGAAACGACAATGTCGAGTGGTGTGTTTAGGGTAAATGATGTTCCCCTCTTCATCTTTTTTGGTATGAATATGGCACGGTAAATCCAACACATCATTCCCATCTTTATCCTTAACTCTTTTGGGAGTCCAGGGCCCTTTGGGCTTTATTTTGAACTTTCCTTGGGCAACAACCAAATCTTCACCAGGAGCATATGGTTCGGCCTTTCGCTTCTGTTTCCGACTGGAATTCCCTCCTCCGGTTTCTTGGGCGACTGTTTTGTGCTTGCCACTCCGGAGTCGGTCTTCCTCTTCGCCGTTAGCGTATTTGGTGGCAATCTCCATCATCCGAGTCAGAGTCATATCTCCTGTCCGACCGGATTTCAGATTCAACTCTCGATACTTAACGCCTTCCTTGAAGGCACAGATTGCTTGGTGATCTGACACATTCTCCACTCTATGGTGTAACGTGATCCATCTCTGGATATAGTCTCTCAAGATTTCATTGGGTTTTTGAACACAACATCGCAATTCTGTCAACCCTGCAGGCCTTTTGCAAGTACCTTCAAAGGTTCTAACAAACACTCGAGCAAGTTCCTCCCAACTATATATGCTGCCAGGAGCCAACTGATTCAACCACGCTCTGGCTGAGCCCTCCAACATCAAGGGAAGGTGCTTCATAGCCACATCATCATTGCCGCCACCAATCTGTACAACCACTCGGTAGTCCTCAAGCCAAGTGTCTGGCTTGGACTCACCGGTGAACTTGCTGACTCCAGTCGCCAACCTGAAGTTGGGAGGAATCACTGCTGCTCTGATGGCTTTGCTGAAACACTCGGGTCCTGAAACGTGCACCCTGCTTCCAGTCGGATGATCTCTATCGTGGCCTTATCTGTGAGCCCTGTTCCTATCAACCAGACCTTGAACGAGGATAGATCTTGCATCAAATCCTGGCTCTCTAGGGTCGACCGGAATTCTTCGTTCGCCGCTGTGGGGGCGCCTGTCATCATCTTGCCGCCGAGGCACGTATGACCCACTCCTCGGAGGAGGAGTGGGCACTCGATGACGGTCATCGTGGTCGAGTCGATGATCATACTGCTCACGGTTCCTGTACTGATTTTACCGGTGCCCACGTCCCTCACGCCGTGGAGGCGATCTTGGGCTGTGAGCAGATTGGACAGTATATGCCACCATAGATCTGCTATGAATTCTATTCCGCGACTGAGATACTGCTGTATTCTGCTCTCCTACTGCCCGGAGTAAAGCCCGAATCTGCATCAAACCTCGGCCAGCTTCTGACTGGGAAGGTTGAATTGACTCTGCTATTCGAGCTGCAGTTGTGAGATTCTGGATCGGAGTTCGGTATACCTGAGTCGGGGGCGGAAAAAGTTGTCGTCGACTGGACTCAGGAATCCGCTGCCGAGCACGATCGTCGAGTGCGCGCTGGAGATTTTCCAGTCGAGTGCGCTCAGCCAAGTTGACCAGGCGCGCCTCCTCCAAGGCATGGGCCTCGGAGGTCTCTCCAACGATAGGAGTGTGAAGTGCATCCATATTACGGCGGCGAAGATCTTCCCTCCGCTGCGAAGAGAGGGGTTCGGGGCTGTACTCCTCATGGACATGTGATGGATCACCGACGCCATCACCACCGTCTTCACGGGAGAAGCCAGGAGGACTGCGTGGTCCATTGACCATCAAGACTTCCGCCGTGGGGTCGCTGCTGTCGCACTCGGATGCAGTCTCGACGGAGCCAGTCGACAGATCGAACAGGCCGTAGAGAGTTTCATCAGGCTCGATCGCCGCAATTTGTGGGGTGGCCGATTGGCGGGCCACCGCATGCCTCACCCACCGCTGAAGCCGCGACCGACCGGATCGCTGGCGCCGGCGAACAACGAGAAGCGAGGATGCCGTAGGAGCCGACTGATACTGAGTCGACGACTGTCGAAAAAGGACGCCGCGGACGCATGCGTGGAAGTGCGTCGCCCACGGACGGGGAGCGCCTCGACGTCGAGTGGAGCCTCGTGGAGCCAAGCGAAGTCGTCGGCGATGAAGACGAGCGCGCCGAGACAGATCTCGTGGCCTTCAGCCAATCCTCCATCGGAAACCATGATGATGGGAATCGGAAGAATCGCAACTTCTCCAACAAACTTCTAAGACACCTGCCCCATGGTGGGCGCCAACTGTCGTGGATCTGAGACTGACAGTAGAATGGGGGGTAGGTATGAAGAGGCAAGATCCTAGCTATGGAGTAGTTGTACACATGAGTTTACGAGTTCAGGCCCTTCGCGGAGGAAGTAACAGCCCTACGTCTCGGTGCCTTGAGGCGGTCGACTGGATTGTATGTGTGTGTGAGTTTACAAAAGATGCGAACCCTTGTCCCAGAGGAGGGGGGTGGCTTATATAGAGTGCGCCAGGACCCCCAGCTCCCCTCCGTTACACAGGATTCAATGTACATTAAGAGTGGAACGTTACTAGTAACGCTAGCAATTAAGTGGTATAAAGGAAAATTAAGTCTATAAGTAAACGCCCGACCGTTGTTTGTGCAGAGTGGCTTTAGATCTTCTGTACATCGAGTGGCTTCGGTGACGGTCGAGTGACATTGATTCTTCCGAGTGAAATGTCTCTGGTCGAGTGGATGATGGTACCCTTTGAATGCTTCTGGCTTGAGGGTGATGTCCTTGAGAAGGGCGTCTAGGTCAGGCCTATGACCCTACCCTAGGTACATAGCTCCATTAGCCGCCGCCAAGAAGAAAGCCATGAAGGAAGCTAAGGTTGTTGTTACCGCCGCGACCCTTGTGTGGCCTACTGGAGGGCATGACTTGTTCATCTCCTACTTGCTTGTTCATGTGCTAGCTTTATATGCTCTGTTCATAAATGTCTCGGTTCTATGCTATATATGTGCACACATGTTCAGGTATCGGCATGAGTTGCATATTGTGAATGCCATGTTTACTCTTTACTCATGGATTAGATTAATAAAAAAAGTGCTAATATATCTAGCAAAAATGTCTGAATACAACATCATTACTGCACAGAAAACACTTTTCAACAGAAAGAAATAAAGAAGCCCTAAAGAAAGAAAGAAGGAAGAAAGAAAAAAATCTAAGTCTAGCTACAAAGTGGCAGAAAAGCCCTAAAGCAAAGCTTTCGCATTGGCAGGGAAAGCTCAAAGCTAGCTAGCGAGGAGTCCATCGCCGGAGCCTTTCCAACCGAGACGATTCGCAAGCATTTCCCTTTGGAAAGGCACTGTTAGCAGTGCCGTGCCACCATACGGGAAAAGACACAAAAGGCGCCCCCTTTCCGCAGCCAAAGCGAGTAAAGCGACGCACCTTGGTTTCGGATAGTCTTTATCGCTTTTCCCCCCGCCACGAAAAAGCCATCAAATGTCCAGTTGATTGTAAAGCAAGGAAGCCATCTTTCGTCGCTTTTACATCCCCTGCCGCAAAAGTGATTAGGGATGATCATCAAGACTCTTAGTGGGTAAGTATCATCGCGCTCGTTGACGACGACGGTGCGTCGAAAATGGGCCGTTTCTTGCTGCTGAAACAAGCTTAATTTGGCCCTGTTTGGAACGCGGGAGTTTTTTGGTCGATTTCAGCGGAAATTTGGCACCGTGATCTTGATCTTTTTGCAAAGTTCACGTAGCCAAATGGGTCCTTGATCGAGCTAGTCGTGGCGGCAATGGAGTGTGGCCGCGGGCAGGCCAGGTGGCGGGACGGGGACGCGAACCGAACGGCATCGCACGTCACCGTATCCCACATGCACTGCACCGCAGTTAGATGTTCCTTTTCCTTCGCCTCGCCCTGTTAAAGGAAAGAGGAAAGGAAATCACGGCGCCCACCCAACACCCACCACAGAGCACGTATCCTATTCGTGCTCCTAGCTAGCAAGCGAGCTATATATACGGCCGATGAGACACACTTCTCCGTGGCATCGGAGAGCGCGGGGCACACACTGACCGACATGGTGTCTCACTCTCACCTCGAGATGGGCGGCGCGGCGGGGATCAAGCTCTTCGGCAAGGTCATCACGCGGCAGCCGACACGCACGGGCGCAGACGGCGGCGGTGGCGGCGTGGTGGTGTCCAAGACGCAGCAGGCGGCGCCCATGTCGTCGTCCTCGTCGTCTTCGGGGCGCGGGAGCGCCGAGCAGCTGGAGGAGGCCGCGAGGGCGCGCGCGGCGGCGGCGGAGGCGCGGCTGCCGTGCCCGCGGTGCCGGAGCGAGGACACCAAGTTCTGCTACTTCAACAACTACAACGTCAACCAGCCGCGGCACTTCTGCCGGGCCTGCCACCGCTACTGGACGGCCGGCGGCGCCATCCGCAACGTGCCCGTCGGCTCCGGCCGCCGCAAGAACCGCCCGGTGCTGCACGGTGCCTCCACGGTCATGAGTGTTGCCGACCACCACTTGGCGGGGCCGGCGTCTCCGGGGATGCCGAATGGGCTTGGCTTCCACCCAGATCATGGATGGTCTCAGGCCGTCCCGCCGACGGCTTACCTCGGCCACGGAGAGATGGAGCAGTGCTGGTGGCTCGTTCATCAGTACCCAGCCCAAGGCCAGGTCAACGGGGACGTCCAACTAAGCCCTTCGTCTCTGCGGATCAACCAATACGCATGAATAAAATTTAAATTTGTTGCCGTATGTTCCAACAATGTAAAAAGTTGCAAATTCAGGCTTCCCAGCTCCTGTCGATTGAAACTCCGGGTTTGCTGTTTCTCAATCGATCGGGGAATAGTTATAGCTCAATCGATGCTATAGTGGTCAGATTGTACGCAGAGATTCGTTCTCATTTTTGTTTTTATATTGTTGTTATTTCTTCTACTGTTTTTATTGGAGACAATTGAGAAATTCAATTGAGCTCTAGGCGCTCCCTTGAAACTAGGGATGAAAAAAAGAGTGGGAACGGACGAAATTGGGTGCTGCCATATATGTTTTCGTGTTTTTTTTTCTGAATACGGAAGCCAATACAGAAATGCCGGAAACAAATACAGAAACGAGTACTACCTAAAATGAAAATGGAGCTAATACAACATGGACACAGGGATGGAAGCGAAGTGTTCACGGAAACTAAAGATCCGTTGAAACATAGACAAAAAGACAAGGAAACCAATATAAGTTGTTCAATTGATCCCCCACGTCGCCCAATTTTAGACACCCCCCTCCCCGCCCGCCCGCGTCGCCCCCGCTCGGGCGACTCGGGCGGAGTTGCAACCCTAGCCGCCGGGGGCTCCCCGTCCTTCCATCCCTCCCTCCGCCGCCGTCGAAGGACGCCGCCGGCTTATAACGCGGGGGCTGACTACGGTGGCAGGGGCCTCCCCTCTTTCCTGCGCCATGGGGGCGGTGCGGATCCCCCCGGCGTGTGGTCGCATGGCCGATCTGGCCTTGGTGGCGTGGCGGGCCTGCTTTCCAGCGGCGGCGCCTCGGCCTAGGGCGACGATGGTGGCGGGTGCGGCGGCCGGCCCTGCTTCAGGCAGCGGCCTTGGCTACGTTTAGCGGCGACGGCCGGGTCTGCGGCGACGGACCATCTGACCTCGGATCGGCGGTGGCGGCATGGAGAGCTTGGTGGTTGGGTTAGCGCCATGCGTGGTTTGCCCTCCGGACAAATCTGATCTGACCGGTGCGGCCTGCTCGATGTGCGGCGGCTCAGATCGGCGGTGACCCATGCACACATGCTTGATGGAGGTTCTTCGAGCGGATCTGGGTGAAAGGCTCGTTCTCGGCTTGATGCCAAGACCGGCGTTGGCGACACTTTTTTGTGTCATTACCTTCTTGAAGGCATCGCTGTGGAGAAGCTCCAGACCTCTATCTGCTACCTCCAAGGGAAACCCTAGATCAGTAGATCGGATGACGACGGCGCATTGGTCTCGTTTCCTCCTTGGGGCGTCATTCTTGGAGGCGTACACATGATCGAGGGACCAGTGGGCAGCTTTTTTGATGGAGCGGTGCTTCCTCCTACACATTGATGACGGCGGATCCCGGTGGCGTGGCGCAGTGAAGACTCGGCGCCCGATGCGCGGTGATGGACTCACGCAAGAGAAAGTAGTTGTCTGGCGCATGGTGGCGTTGATGGCAGAGTGGCCTGACAAGATAGAAGTCTCAATATCCGCTCTGAAGATGAACATGTGAAAGATGGCGGCGACGACACATATGAGTGCGTCAGATCAGTTTATGCACCAGACCCGATGTGTGGCTCGGCTGGGGTTTCTAGCTTTTGATGATAGGCTTAGGTGAGTCGTTTGGGTATTTGACCTAGCTAGCAACCCTTCATCATATGTATAGAATTAGTTGCATATGTTGTGAAGATGGCGGATTCAGACATATTTTTGTAATACCTTATAAGGTCCTCGAGAATAATTAATAAAGTGGCCGCATGCATCTTCCAAATGCAGAGGCCGAGGGTCATCCTCCTTTTTTAAAAAAAGTTGTTCAATTGATAAGATGGTTACTAAATATTGTGATATATAATATGGCGACATGCTCGCTTAGGGATTAGGGATTCTGCTCGCGTGCTGCCATGCTTGGTGTATTAGTAGCACCGTAGAAGTTGGGTCATCTGGGCAATTTGGCTCATCATTTGTTGGGCCTAATTGTATGTTTGTTGGGCTGCAAAATAACCGTGTGCTCATATTCAAAGCGAAAAGTTCCATATTAACGTAAATGAAAAATTCATCTGAGAGCGCGCCTGCGAAGAAAAAAGAATATGATAAAAGCTTTGCAAAATTCTTTAGGGGCAATTGTAGTTGACCCGGAGGAACTTAAAGCGATGGCCAACAGTTTCTATCAAACATTATATACTTCAGAAGGGATACATGATTTGGATGTCGTGCTAAACCATGTACCAAGGAGGGTAACAGATGAGATGAATGTGAGTTTGAATGCGTAATACACTGCTAAGGAGGTAAAAACGACACAGTTTCAGATGTTCCCTACAAAAGCACCAGGGCCAGATGGCTTTCCTGCTCATTTTTATCAACGCAACTGGGATATATGTGGTGAAGATGTCGCAAGGATTGTGCTGTAGATAGTTCGGGGGGGGGGGGGAGGAAAGCCCGAAAGAAATTAATGATACAGTCTTGGTTCTAATACTACCTCCGTCATGGTTTAGAAGGCGCGCTTGGAAATTCTCTGGACCTAGGTGATTATCTATTGGTTGTGAGATGGGCTAAAAATTAGCATTCACACTATGCATGCATATAGAAATAGTATATCAGAGTACTAATTAGCTACTAGAAATAAATGCAATGCGCCCTAAACCTTGTCTATTATGGAAACACACGCAAATTTAACTATGTCTTCTAAACTGTGACAGAGGGAGTATCTAAGGTAATCAACCCCTCTTTGTTAACTCAATTCCGACCTATAAGTCTTTGCAATGTGCTATATAAGATTTCTTCAAAGGTTGTGGCCAACAGATTGAAGTTAGTGTTACCCAACATAATATCTGAGGAGCAGTTAGCCTTTGTACCTGGCAGGCTCATCACAGACAATATTATATGTGCTTACGAGTGTCTGCAATTCATGAAAAGGACAAAATCAAAGTAAAATTGCTTCTGTGCTTTGAAGTTAGATATGATGAAAGCGTATGATAGGCTGGAGTGGTCATATTTGAAGGGTATTATGGCCAAGCTGGGTTTCTCTCAACAATGGATCAATACAGTGAAGGAAATATGCCCTAGAGGCAATAATAAAGTTGTTATTTATATTTTCTTATATCATGATAAATGCTTATTATTCATGCTAGAATTGTATTAATCGGAAACTTAGTACATGTGTGAATACATAGACAAAACAGAGTGTCCCTAGTATGCCTCTACTTGACTAGCTCGTTAATCAAAGATGGTTAAGTTTCGTGACCATAGACATGTGTTGTCATTTGATGAACGGAATCACATCATTAGAGAATGATGTGATGGACAAAAACCATCCGTTAGCTTAGCATAATGATCGTTTAGTTTTATTGCTATTTCTTTCTTCATGACTTATGCATATTCCTCTAACTATGAGATTATGCAACTCTCGAATACTGGAGGAACACCTTGTGTGCTATCAAATGTCACAACGTAACTGGGTGATTATAAATATGCTCTACAGGTGTCTCCAAATGTGTTTGTTGGGTTGGCATAGATCAAGATTAGGATTTGTCACTCCGTGTATCGGAGAGGTATCTCTGGTCCCTCTCGGTAATGCACATCACTATAAGCCTTGCAAGCAATGTGACTAATGAGTTAGTTGCGAGATGATGTATTACGAAACGAGTAAAGAGACTTGTCGGTAATGAGATTGAACTAGGTATGATGATACCGACGATCGAATCTCGGGCAAGTAACATACTGATGACAAAGGGAATGACGTATGTTGTTATGCGGTTTGACCGATAAATATCTTCGAAGAATATGTAGGAACCAATATGAGAATCCAGGTTCCGCTATTGGTTATTGACTGGAGATGTGTCTCGGTCATGTCTACATAGTTCTCGAACCCGTAGGGTCCGCACGCTTAACGTTCGATGATGATTTGTATTATGAGTTATGTGTTTTGGTGATCGAAGTTTGTTCGGAGTCCCGGATGAGATCACGGACATGACGAGGAGTCTCGAAATGGCCGAGAGGTAAAGATTAATATATTGGAAGGTTATATACGGACACCAGAATGGTTTCGTGGTTCGGGGATTTTTTGGAGTACCGGGAAGTTACCGGACCCCCCCTCGGGAAAGTTAATGGGCCTCATGGGCCATTGTGGAGAGAGGGACGAAGGCCACAAGAGGAGGCGCGCGCCTCCCCCCTGCCTAATCCGAATTGGACAAGGGGTGGGGGTGCCCCCCTTTCCTTCTCCCTTTCCCATCTTTCCCCTTTCCCCTCTCCGTTGGAAGGAAAGGGGGGTCGAATCCTACTACGAGTGGAGTCCTAGTAGGACTCTTCCCCCATGGTGCGCCACCCCTAGGGCCGGCCACCTCCTCCTCCCCTCCTTTATATACGGGGGTGGGGGCACACCAATAGTTCTCTTAGCCGTGTGCGGTGCCCCCTCCACAGTTTACTCCTCCGGTCATAGCGTCATAGTGCTTAGGCGAAGCCCTGCGCGGATCACATCACCATCACCGTCATCACGCCGTCGTGCTGAAGGAACTCTCCCTCGACCCTCTGCCGGATCAAGAGTTCGAGGGACATCATCAAGCTGAACGTGTGCTGAACACGGAGGTGCTGTACGTTCGGTACTTGGATCGGTTGGATCGTGAAGACGTTTGACTACATCAACCGCGTTAACCTAACACTTCCGCTTTCGGTCGAGGGTACGTGGACACACTCTCCCCCTCTCATTGCTATGCATCTCCTAGATAGATCTTGCGTGATCGTAGGTTTTTTTTGAAATTGCATGCTACGTTCCCCAACAGTGGCATCCGAGCCAGATCTATGCGTAGATGATATGCACGAGTAGAACACAAAGAGTTGTGGGTGATAATAGTCATACTTCTTACCACCAACATCTTACTTTGATTCGGCGGTATTGTTGGATGAAGGGTCCCGGACCAACATTACATGACCATGTTCATGAGACCGGTTCTACCGACGTGCTTTGCACACAGGTGGCTGGCGGATGTCTGTTTCTCCAACTTTAGTTGA